CAATATCAATAATGCTTAGTTGAATGAATGAATGACATCACACATACAATCTGTGCCCATTAAAATGCCATCAAGGATTGGTACCATCATTTGCCCACTGTGCTCCTGTTCTAAGAAGCATCTATGGAGCTTTGAAAAGAGCACGGGTCTCTGAGCCAAGAATCCTTGCTTCTAGTCTTGGCTCTGACACTGACACACTGTGTAATTATGGTACCATCATTTGCCCACTGTGCTCCTGTTCTAAGAAGCATCTATGGAGCTTTGAAAAGAGCATGGGTCTCTGAGCCAAGAATCCTTGCTTCTAGTCTTGGCTCTGACACTGACACACTGTGTAATTATGGGCAAGTCACTTAACCTTTCTGGACCAGGGGAAATAACTATTGCTGTCCAGCCACATAAGGTGATAAGCATGGTGGTCATTATTTTATAATTATTCTCCATCTGCAAATGTGGTGAACTTCAGAGAAGGTAGAGATATAGTTATGTTTGGGGAGCCATCTAAGCCATGCCCTTAAGCCCTTAGCCAAAAAGACTGTCACTACCCAGGTATCCTGGTGCCTAGAATCCACCTTTACCACCTCATTTTTTTGAGGTAGTCTTTGATTTCACCAGACTCCCCATTTCAAATGCAAATATGCCCCTAGCATGGACAGGGGGACCCTCTGTCACTTAATCCCTAGAAGGAACAGGCAGATCAAACACTCGATGGGAGGGGTCACGTGACCAGGAAAGTGAACGTAAAGGAGATGGGACAGAGAGGAAGAAGGGAAGAGGCAGGCTCTAGTTCCTAAGGAAGAGAAAACTGAGGGGGTCTCGAAGTGAGGAAGAGAAAAGAGCCCAGAAAGAGGTTAGAAGCAGCTGCTTGGGGGAGACCTCCCAAGCTCTAGATCCTGGCTCTGCTCCTGGCTGTGTGAACTCAGGAAAGTCTTTTCTTTCAGTCCTACTTTCCTCTTTTGCCAAAAGGAACGATAATTGTCATGAATAAGATATGGGAGGTTAAATAGCTGGCTAAAAGTAGGCACAAATATTTGTTTCCTCCCACAGCCCTTAGATAACTTCATAGTTCTGCTGAGTAAATAGCAACCTGCAGGCAAATGTCCCCTCGCCCCACCCCAGCCCTACACACAGGCTACCCTGGCTTCTCCTAACTTGAGCAACCCTGCCCCCAAACAGGGGACTCTTTGAATGATTCCATGAAAGGGCAGTTTGTGCTGCTCTTGGCGTTGCTGAAAGAGCCCCCCAGAATCAACACCCTCTTGCTTCCTCCTCCCAGGCAGCTCTCCCTGCTCCCTTGTATGTAAAAGGGGACAAGCAGGATGGCCTCTGCACCCTGCCCTCTACAGGCACACGTTCTCACTCCTTCCACTGTGGTTCTGTGCTCCAAAGTGGAAGCCCTCTCAGCCCACTCTGGCCACAGGGTTTTCCCCTTTCTCCCAGCTCCCTCAATCCTTAGGATGAGCACCACATGGCTTTCCACTTGATTATATCCACTTCTCTAGTCTTACATTTGGGCATGTGCTTATTTTGCCCTACAGGCAGTGAGTAGACGCCTCATTTTCCTGGATTCTCGTAGAGCACCTAGCACGGGCTGGTCACACAATAGGTGTTCATGCATTTGTGGAAATGAAGTGATTCATTCGGGTATTCATATCTACATCTGACAGGGCTCTTAGCCATTCAGCATCCGAGGCACAATGGATAGACCTTTTCAACTCCTGGGAAAAGTTTGGAGACTCCCCCCTAAAACTGTTGGCTCCAAAAGATATTCTTGTCAATGGGAACAAAGTCACAACAGCAAAGTAATATGTAATGCAGACAACGGAAGGCTAGTTAAGATCTTTGGTGACAAATAGACCTGGATTTTAATCCTGCCTTTGCCACTTTGTAGCTGTGTGACCTCAGGCAAGTGACACTTTCTCTGCCTCAGTTTCCTTCATCTGTAAAACAGGCATAATAGTACTTATCTCACTATGAGGATTTTTTTTTTTTTTTTTTTGGTCTTTTTTCGTGTCCGGCAACGGATTGCAACCCTCAGTGTCACGCCCGTACCGGACCGGGACCGGCAAAGGTATTGCAACCCTCGGTGTTGCTCCCACACCTTGCTCAGCCAGTGAGCGGGAACTGGTCTGTATGTGGGATCCGAACCCTCGGCGGGAGCGCCACCACGCTCCCAAGCGGCGCACTGTAGCACCTCAGTGTCGCGCCCGTACCGGACCGGGACCGGCAACGGTATTGCAACCCTCGGTGTTGCTCCCAGAACCCGGGGCCTTGGTGTTATCAACACCACACTCTCCCGAGTGAGCCACGGGCCGGCCCACTATGAGGATTAAAGGAGACAAATATACCTAAGTTCCTGGCACAGAGCCTGGCCCATTGTAAACGGTCAATATGTGCTCACTAATTATAATGATAACAGTCATTAATGCCAAGAATATTACCCGGAGTGAGGCTTGCAAATGATATTTAGTGCAATGCCAGGAGTCCAGGTTAGACAAGCCTGTTAGAAAACAGCTCACAGAACAGTACAAGAAAAAAACAAAATTATAGGGCCGGCCTGTGGCTCACTCGGTAGAGTGCGGTGCTGATAACACCAAGGCCATGGGTTCGGATCCTATATAGGGATGGCCAGTTTGCTCACTGGCTGAGTGTGGTGCTGACAACACCAAGCCAAGGGTTGAGATCCCATTACCGGTCATCTTTAAAAAACAAAACAAAACAAAACAAAATTATAAACAAGCAATGCCCCAAGCCATAGTCAGTCCTAGTAAGATTAGCTATCTACCCACTAAGTGCTGTGGGGGCCCCAAAGCCATACCACTTTCCAGCAAGACTAGTCAACTTTCAGAGGGCTTGGCGACTAGTGCAGATACAAAAAAATGAGGCCTTTCCCCTCTCTAGCTGTTATGTAATGGGGGGACATGGCTTTGAAAAGCATCCAGTGGAAAAAGCACTGCTGAGGGAGACAGAAGACCGGGCAGCTGGCCCTAGCTGTGCTGTGTAACCCCAGGCAAGCCACTAACCATGCAAGCTTTCCACAGTATCTGCTCTGCTGTCCTCCCCTGGGGAGGTGAGGTTCAAGAGCAGGAGTAGTGAAGTGTTTTGAAAGCCAACACACATAGCTCTAGGGACGGACCTATTGCCTGCCCAGCCTCTGCAGACGCTCCCCATCTTCAAGAATTGCTCCTGTCCCTCCTTCATGGAGGGGGAGAAAGGGGAAAGGGGGCTCTCAGTGCTCTCTGTTCATGCCTCCACTTGGAGCTACATTGTCTTGTGATGATTTGAGGGTCTCCATTTCTAGGGGCAGGGGAAGCATCTAATTCTCTTTTCCATCCCTAGTGCCAGCCAGGGCCTGGCTCTGAGTAGGCACTTTATCAATGTGATTTGAATGGACAAATGAGGCTTTCCCAACTACCCCAAACCACAAAGATTCCCTTCCTCTTGATTGCAGCATGCAATGGTAATTCATCTCTTCTTGCATGCAACATTTTCACGTTGTGCTTAAATGACACAACTCAGGACACATTTTGTCTCATCCCCCTACTGGCCCAGCTCCCAGGGACTGTATCCAGCACCTCTCTGGATCCTCCAGCACCAGCTGAGTCTAGGGCCTGCTCCTGGGGAATGCTCATTAAGTAGTTGTTGCTTAATTTGCAGCCAGACATTCTTGTGTATCACTTGGTCAAAAATGTTTGATAATTGTCATCTCTCAGACATTGATAAGAGCACCTGTGTTAAAAGCACAAAGTTTGGAGCCAGACTGTGGGATCTTGGGCGAGATACCTAACTCTCTAAATCTGCCTCCTTGTCTGTAAAACAGAGATAATAACTGTATTGATCTCACAGGGTTGGCATAAGCATTAAATAACTAATGTATGAAGCCCTAGAACAGTGCTGTCACTGCTGTCACAGTAAACTTGTTGTGTGCACCATTACTATGATTGGTTCTGCCAGATCCTGCAATTCTGAGAAGTTCAGGTTCTAAGAAGAAAGGGGAGCAGTCTCCCCCACAGACAGTGGCTTTCTGTCTCAGGCCTGTTTCTCTGGAGCTGGAGGAGGTAGTTTGTGAGTAGGCGACGGTAATCTAGGAGGAGGATTTCGAGAACCTTGGTGCACTCAGCAAAAACACTGGGGGTGTGACAAGGTGCTCATGGAGGCTCTGAGAAAGCTGTGTATTAGAGCCTCAGCTCTCTGGGCAGTTGAGATCCTGAAGGGCTTGGTGCGGGGAGCGGATGTCTCACCACCCGGTCCGTTCACTGTGTAGCTTTTTTGTGAACAAGACTCACTCATATCCCTGTGGAAGAACCTGAGCCAAGTGACCTGAAGTGTTCTCTTGGCATAAGTGCTCAAATATCACAATCTCCCATCGATGCAGCCTTAGCTCATGCTAGTCCTTCTGCTGGGAAACGCTTCTCCTCACCAGATTCTGCCTATAAAAATTCTACCTTTCCACAGTGCAGCTCAAAAGGTGCCTTTGCAAAAATGTTGAATGCCTACTTATTTTTAACCAGACCTTCTTCTAGGGATGCCAAGAGGAATCTAGTGGGAGCAGACTGGTACATAAATAAATATTGAAATTCAGTGAAATGGGGGCTATAAAAAAAAAAAAAAAAAAAGCAGGGCCACAAAGCACTCACCCTGCAAGGGAGGCAACAGAACATAATTAAATGAATTAAGTAATTTCAATTCAGATAGGTGTTAAGAAAATAAAATCAGTTGATGTGAAAGCAAGTGGCTGGAAGGTAGAAGTGTCAGGGAAGGCCTCTCTGAAGTGACACCGAGCCAGGAGTGGAATGATGAGAAGACCCCGGCTGTGGGAAGACTGCAGTGGCACCCCATGTGGAGGTCTGAGGTGTGGGACCCCATGCAGTGACAAGGCCGGCGTCTGTGACGTAGCGAGGGGAGAGCAGAGGAAGGTGAGCCAGGCTGAGGCTATAGCTTAAATAACGTGTTACGCTCTGCTTTTGCCACTCGGCGTTATAATGTAAGAACATTCTCTGTTGGAAAAAATGATCTGTAAACATTTTTAATGGCTGTATTAAAAAATCTTATGAAAAGAAAGTTGCTTTCTACTTTAAAAAAATCATCATACGATATACCACTTATAGGGGTACTTCTCAAATGGAGTCACTCCCTGCTGGGGCTTCCACGGCAGTCATGGGAAGAAGGGCTTAAAGCCATGGGAGTCGGGCTAGCCCCTCCTGCAGGTGACCCCACTGCCACTTCTGGGTCCCTGTGGTCAATGTTCAAAGTAGCCAAAGCCCCAGTGATGAAACCCCACAGGCTGTCAATAAGTCCTGTTCCCAATAGAGAGTGTGTGAGCTCCAGACACTTTCTCTCTCAGGCCTCCACTGTCCCCTCCTTTGCATTGTGCACTCTACTCTGACTCTCATGGCTGGAGCAGAAACAAATGTAAATTCTCAGGTGTCCTCTGGTAAAGACCACTTCACTTCCCTGCCTCCCACTGGCAAGGAATGGGCAGTGCTGACGAAGCCTTCTTCCTGCTCTCCCTTCTCCTCTCCTACCCTAGCTCTTGGCTCCTGGCTTCTCCAGAAATCCACAGGACTCCACCAGTGTCTCTCTGCCGACATTTCAGTCTTCAGGGCTGGAGCTGCAGGGTCTGCGGAATTCCTGTCCATACTCATGTATCCACTTGTTGGCCACTGGGAGAGGATGGGGAGGAAAAGAGAGCAGGCTTGATGGAGCGGGCAGTGGAAATGCTCCGGACCACACTCACCCACAGGGGCATATTCTGTGCTCCAGGCCACTCACCTGCCCACCCTGCTCCTGGCCCACTATGTTTTGTTTTTTGAAGGCTGGCCAGTATGGAGATCCAAACCCATGACCTTGGTGTTACAAGGTTGTGCTTTAACCAACTTAGCTAACCAGCCAGCCCTGCTTCTAGCAATGATGAATAGCAAAGAGGAGACTGTCCTCTGCAAAAATCTGACAGGTCCTGTTCACTGTAAACTGTTTTTCAAACCTGTGCAAACTAAGGTCACTCTCCTTCGTTCTAAAAGTCCACCTCCCCCATGAAGCCCTTCCTGAGTGATGAGAGAAAAAGGGTGGTTTCTCCTGGCAGCGCCCACCTCAGCACCAGGGCTCCTTTTCTACTTCCTTTTCTGTCTTCAGAGCTAAGTGCTCTTGGACACATACATGAAATAAACATGTCTGTCCGATTCTTACGCCTTCCTTATTTGACCACCTCCTCATGGGAGGGCACTAAATGGGAGAGGTGATGGCTTGATGATTGTCTCCTTTAGGCAGAGGGTTGGGACTCAGCACCATATTCCTCCTCAGCTGTGCTCAGAAATCAAGCCCTTTCTGGTCAATAAACCTTTACTGATACCTGCTCTGTGAGAGGACCCCTGATTGATAATCTGATCATCTCAATATAACATGGCACCATAATGAAGCTTTTGGAATGGAAGGGCTATGCTATTTCCCACCATCCCCTACTTGACTTTATTCTGCACCCCTCACCCCATTCTCCACCCAGAAAGGCAGGACTTACCCCACTTATCTCCCACCAGGACAGGACAGCCAGCATGCAGTGTGTCACCATCCCCTTCACCACTCCTATGCAGGTTCCACCAGAACAGTGCTGCATTCTGAAAACAAGAGGACCCAGCCCCAGGGAGGGTCGGCTCAGTATCTCAGGCCTAGGGCAACACATGACTAAGGACAAATACATGTCATTAAACAAGAAAAGTCTCCATGCAGTCTGGGGGCAAGGCAGGCACAAAATGGCACAAAATAGCATAAGGTGCCATCTACCATTCATGCATGGGTCACTGATTGAGAGTTTACTCTGCTCCAGGCCCTGGGGCTGCAGGGACAAGTCATGTCCAGTTCTGCTCTCAGGGAGCTCATGAGAGACAGGAAACAGACCAGGATAATGCAGTGTGGTGAGCGCTAGAAGAAGGTGAGCATGGGTGTTCCTGGGTTACCGAAGAGAGACACCCAATAAAGCCCTGGGGCTGCAGGGACAAGTCATGTCCAGTTCTGCTCTCAGGGAGCTCATGAGAGACAGACAGGAAACAGACCAGAATAATGCAGTGTGGTGAGCGCTAGAAGAAGGTGAGCATGGGTGTTCCTGGGTTACCGAAGAGAGACACCCAATAAAAGCCACAAGGTGGGACAAAATCTCCCTCATACAACAGAGAACTGCATTAATTCAAAAACTTATCCTTCCTTAGGCACTTACTACTAACACTTCCAGGAAGTAGGCACTATCATAATCCCCATTTTCCTCACAAGGAAGTTGAAGCTTGGGGTCTTTAAATAATGCAGCTAAGGAGCAACGTTAGGATTCAACAGCAAGTGTTTTGACTTCAAATCCTATATGTTCTTTTTTTCTCCTCATACACTTTTTTCTTTGTCATATTTACTTCCTATGAACTTACTTTAACCATGGCCATTAGAAGTAGACAAAGCCCAAGGTAATGAAGAACTTTCCAGGATGCACTGGCAGCCTTTACATTCCCAAGCCTAGAAGAGATGCCAAGGCCCTGAACATTCATGGATACCCAGCATTTATTTATTGAATGCTTAGGATGTGCCAGGCACTGTGTTGAGTTCTTTTTTGGCATGATCTCACTTATGTATCTTCATTTCATTCCTGAATTAGGTAAGGGCTGCTGGAGAGTGTGATTGATCTGAAATTTGGAGGAAATATTCATTCATTGAATAAGCCTCATCCCAGGGCTCTCCTGCATTTCCCTCTTTTCCATAGCTCTGCTGCAGTCAGTTGTTACTGCCTGTTAACTTTCCGTGAGCTCCTAAGGAAAGGGCTATGATTTTCCCTTTGTACCCTCCGTGCCTCTAGTTCTCAATGTGGACTGTACTAATGACTGGAGGAACTAGTTGCTGTAAAGGATCCAAAGGTGAATAAAACAGCTCTTATCTTTGAGGAGCTCTACTGTGGTAAGGAAGGCAGCCATGTAATCATCTACGTGTAACAAGTGTAAATAAAATAGCAAACAGAGGCACAAGGAACATGCTGTGGTAATAAAGACAGCTGGGATTATCTTTGATTCTGGGAATCAGGGAAGACCTCTCTTTATCCCTCCTCCCAGGAATCAGCTAGCAAGCACAGACAGCATGAAGGTTAGGATGTTAGTTCTGCACTCTTAGAAGCACCGTATTCTAGGCCCAGGCTCCCACTCACCTTAACCACAGGCACACTAAAGTTGGCGTAGATGAAGGCTGTGGCTCCTCCAGCTTCCACTGAACTCAGCTATAATGCCAGAGGAAGAAGCCAGAGTTAAAATAGCCGCTGACTTCCCTGCTCTGTCCTGTGTTCATTAACCTGACATCTGATGTCATTTCTGCATAGATTCCTTCCTGTTAGAGTTCCTACCTCAACGTGAAAAGCAATCATCCAAGTTAGGAATTAAGGGAGCCTATTCAGTGGTGTTGATGTTTGCCTATAAGGTTACAAGAGGACAATATTTTGGAATTCTTCCTTTCTTTTCCCTTTCAGCTAACATCCTGATTGAGGATTACAATAAGTAGGTTCAAACTTTTATTGAGTCCCTTAAGAAGAATACATCTTACGTCATGACCTAAGACACACACACACACACACACACACACACACACACACATCACTGAAGTAAAAATTTCATAGAACGTTCTCACTACCCTCTAATATTTTCTATTTTATTTTATTCTATTTGAGTGCAGTTTTCTTAGATGCTGATCAGACCCACTAAATTAATCTTACAGCCTACTAAATGGATCATGACTTGTGACTTGAAAACCAGTTTAGACTACAATGATTCATTGTGATAGATGGGCACCATAGGAACTACTTATTGCACCTGTGGCATGTTCCCTGGATCCCTCAATCCTCTAAGGTAACCTAAGCTAAGGAGTTTCACCACTGGTATATTCTAGGATTATGGATATATTTTCTTAATATGAAGATTTTTTTTCCTGATTGTTAAAGAAATTCATAATAATCATAAAATCATTTTTAAAAATACAATAAAATATTTTAAAATATTACTCATCATTTTGCCATCCAGGAAAAAGCACTGTTATAGTATACATAGTAATACTTGACGTTGTTTGAGCACTAATTATATGTTAGGCATTACAAATGTATTACCTCACTTATTCCTCACAACAATCCCGTGAGTTAGGATTGTTACTATTTTTATTCTTCATATGATGAGGAAACCAAGTCTGAGAGAGATTAAGTACTTTACAAAAGGTCACTTAACTCTCTGTGACAGAGCCAGGATTCAAGCTGAGCCAATGCTATCTGACTACAAAGTCCCTGCTTATAACCATTATGCTATACTTATGAACATTTAGGTTATTTCCAAAATGTTTGCTATTATAAACAACACTTCATCGAACATCTTTTTTTTTTTTTGTCTTTTGTCTTTTTCCGTGTCCGGCAACGGATCGCAACCCTCAGTGTTGCCCCCGTACCGGACCGGGGACCGGCAACGGGATTGCAACCCTCGGTGTTGCCCCTGCGCCTCGCTCAGCCAGTGAGTGGGAACCGGTCTGTATGTGGGATCCGAACCCTCGGGCGGGAGCGCCGCCGCGCTTCCCAAGCGGCGCACTATCCAGTGCGCCACCGGGTCGGCCCTTCATCGAACATCTTAATGAGTAAAATTATTTTTGCATTTTGGATTGTTTTTATAGGATTATACTTTTTATATTTTATAGTATTATTGGGTCAAAAGAGTATGCATAAATTTAATATTTCTGATACATACTGCTAAACTATTTTCTCACCATCTGTATGACATGAGAGAGCCAGTTTGCCTAGCACTGGCCACCAGATGGTTCATGTCCTTTAACCTTGTGGCATTCAGATCCCACCATATTCACTTCTGTTACAGAGCAAGAGCTGTAGGAGTTACGATGGGGCACTTGTTAGAGGAAACTGAACTGACTTGGTGATTCTGAACATGGAAATGGCAGTGGTGACTTTCAGTGTTCCCTGGCTCCCCCTGTAGCCCACTGGGAAGGCCAGTGAGAACAACAATTCGCTCCTGTGTTCAAGTAATTAATAAATTGGATGATCTCTTCTAACCCCCCTTGTCAATTACTGTGGTGAGAGCAAGACACAACAGGAGCAATTTGGATTTCCCTGCATTCCTTTACATGTGGTTTTACAATATAGTGGAAAGGAATGACATATCCAACAAATTCAAAAGAAAATCTGACTCTGTGTGCAAAGAAACTCATGGGCATAGAATGGATTTTGAGTACAGTGGGGAGGGGAGAGAATCCATCCCTCTGTATACCTTCCACGGTTTTGTACTTGGACTGATCTTACGTTTAGTCTGAGGAGAAAATCACTAACCTGATTTCAACTCAATCCTCTGTACTTAAAGATTATTTTCTCTCTACAATATTACTCTTACGTTTACCACAAACCTTAATGCTCATCTTTAGAAATATTTATAATGGTCTTTACCCAACCTGAAGATGAAAGAATTGGGCATAACCTAGCATGTTCTAGGTCCCACGACATCGATTCCCCCTTACAGGGTCTTTTCTTTACTTGTGTTGTAGGATACAATGATAGAAACATATTGTATGAAACTTTCCAGTGATATCCCCACTACATTATCTCATCAGATCCTCATGATAACCCTGTGAAGAAGTGCAGGGCAAGAAAATGAGCTCAAATAATTGATGTAATTTGTGCTGAGGCCACATAGTAAGTGGCAGAATCAGGATTAGGCTGACTGACTCCAAAAACAAAGTGCATTCCATTCCACTGTGTCTCAAATGCTTAAAACCCAAACGCACATGCGCACACACACACACGTGCGCGTGCACACACACACACACACACTTGCACTTGCCATTTAAAATTGCTGGGCTCTTACATCCATACTACCTTTTACTGTAGTAACTGGGCCTCTGCAACCAGAGAAACAGCCATAGGAAATATTGGGGTGGGGGGATAATGAACAGAGATATATTGTGCCCCTAGATGCCCTATTCTTTGGTTTGGTTGCTGTCTGTATTCTTGTGTCCTGTGACCTCACGTGCCAGCTTGAATGATCAGCCAGAGATGTAAGCAGCTGCAGATCCAAGATGTATCACCTGCCTGATAGCTCACTTCAGCTATCCTTCTGTGCCTGATCAGAACAATCAGAATGACCGCCAAGAGGTCAGACAGCACTGTAAGTGGCATCCTTCCAGTTCTGCAGGAATTATAAAACTGAGCCACATGGAGAAACTTGTTGGAATTGCCAGCATTAAAGACTGTATAGAATGTCAGTCTCTGATTGCCCTTTCTTGGCCGCACTGTGGAGACCAGATGCAGCCCTAAGGGAAGACGGAATGCTCCAGTGGGGAGTGTCTGCTATTCTAAAGAGCATGCATCCAGGACTTCATCTTTGGTTGTTATATAGAGCCCTTACAAGTATTTAACATGTTTATCCCTTCAGTTAAGAGTAATATATCTCTTCTAATAAGTGATCACTTCTAATAATCTCTTGTAAGTGACAGGTGATTGGAATTGCGACTTGTCCATAGAGAAGAAAGTAGACCCACATGATCTGAAGGGAAGAGGATAGGTGAGATAATAAAGACTGGGCATGGATCCTGTAGGATCAGGCCAGCAATTAGGAGAGGAGGCCAATTAATTTTTTTATTTTTAAAATAAGTGTAATGGAGATTTTACTGGGGAGATAAGAAAGTTTTCAGTACATATCAGAGGCAACAGTTACTGAATTCCTCTGTAGGCATCTCTGTTCTTCCCTCTTATAATCTTAGCTATCTCATTTCTCTCTTTCTCCTCCAGCTCCACAACCTCATCTATAGGTCTGTGCTTTCAACACCCAGCCAGTCTACGGGACCTCAAAGAGACAGGCTCTCTCTCCTCTTCCTGTGTTGTTCAAGTTTCACAATCTCTTGGGCTTTTCACATAACCCCTCTTCCCATCCTAACCTACTGCCTATGACAAGGTCATATTTAGATCCACACCCTCTGATGGTATGAACTCTGTCTTATATTTCTTTATATCTCTTATACTACCTAACAAAAATGCTATCCGAAATCCACAAAATTCCTGGTGATTTTTGTGTTAAGTACCAGACAAAATTAACATGTGAAATTGCTTTCAAAACCATCAAATGAAATAGAGATACAAATAGAGCTAGTCATTAAGTAAGAATCCCTGATCCCTCCAGAGCAAGACTCACATAGATCATAAAAGTTGCAACTCGGTTCCCAGACTTCATTCTGTATAGGGGGCTGCTTGGTGACTGAGACAAAAACAGAACATATCATTATTTTATGCAGATGGCACCAGAGTGACAGTCAGGATTCCACCATTAATATAGGGAGAGGTAAAGTGGGATGTCAAAGATGGGATATTTCCCTTAGCTATACCAAGTGGAGTATGTGCCCATCTTTGCTGGCATGTACTCAATACATTCTTTTTTTAAAAAAATAATTTATTAGATATTCATATAAATGAATTGTATACTAATCAAACAGAACTACTTGTCAATAGTGAAAATACTATATGAAGAGTTAATTGCATCTTTGGGTTTTCTGTGAAATAAAGAAACTAATACATACAACATTACAGGGAATTATTCTGTGGAATTCCAAATCACAAGACTGGAGTTCTCAATTATTCAGACCTTTGTTCTAAGACTTCACTTAGCATTCCCTGAAGCTCTGCAAGAGCTCTGCCTCAGAGAAATCAATAATGCCCTGGCTCCCTACCCCAGGAGATTGGTTATTGTTCCGTTGTTACCGTAGCGTGATCAAAGTGAGGCTCATAGTGCCCTCCGATCCCATAGTTCACCACCTGGAGATACTCTGCATAGGGAGGGTGGATGTCAAGGCCTGTGAGGGCAGCAATGCGGTGGTCAAGGGTCACCAGCATTGGGTCCACGGTGTCCTTCAGCCAGGCACTAAAATATACCACAGGTTAGAGCATCAGTGATCTGATGCCAGAAATGACTCGATGATGTCTGTGAGTGAATGAGTGGATGAATGAATGAATGAATGAATTATGTCAACTGCCAGAAGAAAGGAAGGAAGAGAGGGAGAGAGGAAGGGAGGGAAGTAAGATAGACACAAATGCCTAAGTACTCATCCCTCATGTTAAGCTTGCCCAGTCCACTTTGTGCTGTCTCAACATTCACATGTTCATTCATTCAAAAAAACATTCTCTGAGGCCCACTGAATGTCAGGCCCTTTGCTAGGTACTGAGGCTACAGAGTAAAGGTTCACAGCACTCAGGCACTGGGATGCAAAATCCCTGCCTTTAAAACTGCTATGTTGTAGTGACATCTCAACAGAGGGAGCAGGTGCAATAGAAAAAACTTAGGATTTAGACAAATAAGACCAGCCCCTGATCCTCTGTGTGATCCTAAGGCAGGTACTTAACCTTTAACTTCTATAAGGGTCAACGTGTTATCTATAAAATTGGAATGATAACGTCTCCTTCACAGACTTGTGAAGATTGTGAGAGACAACGTTTATGAAGATGCTTTGTAAGCTATACGTTAGTGATTACTGTTCAACACGGAAAAATCTCTGCTCTCCTGCTCTACTCCAAAACAAACCAGGATAGGTCAAAGGCCAGAGATCACAGTTCAGTTTCTCTTCCTGAATGTCTTGTTGAGGTTCTGACGAAGTAGAAATTTTGGAATCAGAATTTAGGTCCCTGGGAAATGAGGAAGTGGGGAATTACAAATAGGAACAGGACCTTCTGGGGAGAGCACGAAGGCTCTGAAGGGAAGAGCCTCGGCCTGATATTGGAAGACCACTTCTTTGCTCTTCGGATGATGTGTTAATTTGCTCTTTCTTCCATAGAGAGTGCATGCAAAGTGCTATGCCACGTGCTCTTTGGTGTACTAAGATACCCAGTACAAAGCTACTGCTTTTAAAGAGCTCATGGGTTATGTGGGAGAAGAAAACTACAAATACAACTAAGTACAAATTAAGGTAGAGTGAAAAAATGAGAAACAGACTTTAAAGTAAAGTGCTGGGGAGTACAGAGGAAAGAGAAGTTAATTCTACTGGAACACTGCAGGAAGATGGTGACATATGTGCCAAATTTTGAAGGGTGCATAAAATTTCAATAGATGCAAAACATATAGGGGTATTCCAGTCTAAAGAAACAGCATAAGCAGAAACATGCAAGTGTGACAATAAATAATAGGTGCAAATGCCAAAGCGTTTGGTCTATGAAAAGAAGTAACGGGATAAAGCTGAAAAGTAGGCTCAGGGCATAATATAGAAGGCTGAGGACACTGCGGTAGGGAATATGGACTTTACTTTGTGGATAATGGATATTCAGTGAAGGTATGTGAGCAGGAAAATAGTTTGGCAATTAGGAGTCCCTGGAGACCTTAGGAGTCCCTGGAGAGACCAGTTCCTGTGAAGCTGTGAGGACAGAACAACAATTCTAAGGGTTGAGAAGTGATGTGAGGGGAGAAAAAGGAGGGAGTTTCTTAATCTGAAAAGTGAAGAAAATACCACCTACTCCCCTAAAAGCAATGAATCTAAATAGAATGTTGAATTTTCTCTCTGACACTAGAATATCAGAAAGGTCAGAAAAAGCAATGAGGCTGAAGTCCCATGAACCTCCCAAAGTGTAGAGAATTATCCCTAATGGAAAATGTCCCTAAATGTACCAGACCAAATAAGTTAAGCCCAATGATTCTGAATCAAAGCTTTCAGCACCACCTCACTTCCCAGACAACACACACTAACCAGCCACCCCGAGGTCAGACATCTCCCCAGGACACTGACGTCCCTGCCTCCTCTTGCTATGTCACCAGCCCTTTCCTTACGGAGCAAACAAAGAGTTGCAGTGGGAGGTGGGCAGGGATGGAGGGAAGGGGATAAAGCTGGGCCCTACAGCTGGATCTGCACCTCTAGAGAAGCCATCCGGTCCAGAGTCTATTCATCCTCTTGCCCAATTGTTGGCAAGTCATGCTTTGAATATGAGTCAGGAGATGGGAATGGAGTCTTGTAAAGTCAAATTACAAATGGGGACAGGACTGTATTCTCTGGAAAAGCAATCTTGGTTAGGAGAAAAACTATATACTTATTTTTTGGTTTAGGGCATAGGAGCTTTGCCAAGTCTTTCTCTAATGACCTTCTAGTTAAATCCTCAGAGGATATTTCAAACTGGGAAAGGCTCTTGGGTGAGGAGAACGGAAATTTCTCCCTCTCAAAAAGAATGTAGAGACATAAACATGAACTACAAGTTCAATGGCATCTCTGATGGTCCCTTAATGGCTGTGGCTGACCTGGCAGGCAGCTGTGCCACCAGCTCAAGGGCAGGCAGCAGGTGTGACCAGGAGTCTCTGCTGAGGAACAGCTCTTCTTACCTTTTGCTGATGCGGTACTCCACTTCTAACTGCTTTTCCCCTGATGCCACCACTGATCTCTGTAGCTGGTGGGAAGGACATAAGACAAAGTCCAGGTGGTTATAATGCAAAGGAAAGGGCTCGGGCATTTCCACAGACACACCGCTCACCTAAGCATAAACATAGCAATTGGCAGTTCCTCCCTAATTAAAGGATGTTTGGCACATGGCACTTATTTAATGGTAGCTATCGATCTTGCAAAGAAAAAAATAAGTGACCAAAAAATTTTAGAGTTGAAAAGAACCTTTAGTACCACATCTGATAGACAGTAAGCACTCAGTAAAAGTTTGTTAAGCTGAAATAACTGATATTTGAATCCCTTTTGTATCTGCAAGGCTGTGAGTTAGGTAAGAACAAGGGCTATTTTTCATTCACCTTTGTATCTGGTGTCAAGCACAGGGCCTGACCTATGTAAGTACTCAGTAAGTGTCCATGAAATTAAATGAACACCTCCAACAACAGGAAACTCTCCTCCACACTCAGAGGCAGCCTGCTCCTTTTAAACAATTCTGACAAAAGTTCTTCCTTCCAGAAAATCAAAATCTGTTTTGCTGAAACTGCCTTGATAATGAAAAAACAACAGGTTTGAAGTCACTGATCTAACTGAAATGTCTCTATTTTGTTCTGAATGTCTGGATATAACATGTATACTATTTTTAAGCAAAGTGCCTCCTCACTGCAAAATCACTATACTAGGGACAGAAAGAGAAATATTATTTATTTACATAAGGATATGTGTACTTCTGCCTCTGCTATCAGAATATCAGCTCCACGAGGGCAAGGATTTGGTCATTTCTCAGTGCTATATCCCGAGGGTCCAGAGAAGGCNTAACCCCTCTTCCCATCCTAACCTACTGCCTATGACAAGGTCATATTTAGATCCACACCCTTTGATGGTATGAACTCTGTCTTATATTTCTTTATATCTCTTATACTACCTAACAAAAATGCTATCTGAAATCCACAAAATTCCTGGTGATTTTTGTGTTAAGTCCCAGACAAAATTAACATGTGAAATTGCTTTCAAAACCATCAAATGAAATAGAGATACAAATACTGATGGTATGAACTCTGTCTTATATTTCTTTATATCTCTTATACTACCTAACAAAAATGCTATCCGAAATCCACAAAATTCCTGGTGATTTTTGTGTTAAGTACCAGACAAAATTAACATGTGAAATTGCTTTCAAAACCATCAAATGAAATAGAGATACAAATAGAGCTAGTCATTAAGTAAGAATCCCTGATCCCTCCAGAGCAAGACTCACATAGATCATAAAAGTTGCAACTCGGTTCCCAGACTTCATTCTGTATAGGGGGCTGCTTGGTGACTGAGACAAAAACAGAACATATCATTATTTTATGCAGATGGCACCAGAGTGACAGTCAGGATTCCACCATTAATATAGGGAGAGGTAAAGTGGGATGTCAAAGATGGGATATTTCCCTTAGCTATACCAAGTGGAGTATGTGCCCATCTTTGCTGGCATGTACTCAATACATTCTTTTTTTAAAAAAATAATTTATTAGATATTCATATAAATGAATTGTATACTAATCAAACAGAACTACTTGTCAATAGTGAAAATACTATATGAAGAGTTAATTGCATCTTTGGGTTTTCTGTGAAATAAAGAAACTAATACATACAACATTACAGGGAATTATTCTGTGGAATTCCAAATCACAAGACTGGAGTTCTCAATTATTCAGACCTTTGTTCTAAGACTTCACTTAGCATTCCCTGAAGCTCTGCAAGAGCTCTGCCTCAGAGAAATCAATAATGCCCTGGCTCCCTACCCCAGGAGATTGGTTATTGTTCCGTTGTTACCGTAGCGTGATCAAAGTGAGGCTCATAGTGCCCTCCGATCCCATAGTTCACCACCTGGAGATACTCTGCATAGGGAGGGTGGATGTCAAGGCCTGTGAGGGCAGCAATGCGGTGGTCAAGGGTCACCAGCATTGGGTCCACGGTGTCCTTCAGCCAGGCACTAAAATATACCACAGGTTAGAGCATCAGTGATCTGATGCCAGAAATGACTCGATGATGTCTGTGAGTGAATGAGTGGATGAATGAATGAATGAATGAATTATGTCAACTGCCAGAAGAAAGGAAGGAAGAGAGGGAGAGAGGAAGGGAGGGAAGTAAGATAGACACAAATGCCTAAGTACTCATCCCTCATGTTAAGCTTGCCCAGTCCACTTTGTGCTGTCTCAACATTCACATGTTCATTCATTCAAAAAAACATTCTCTGAGGCCCACTGAATGTCAGGCCCTTTGCTAGGTACTGAGGCTACAGAGTAAAGGTTCACAGCACTCAGGCACTGGGATGCAAAATCCCTGCCTTTAAAACTGCTATGTTGTAGTGACATCTCAACAGAGGGAGCAGGTGCAATAGAAAAAACTTAGGATTTAGACAAATAAGACCAGCCCCTGATCCTCTGTGTGATCCTAAGGCAGGTACTTAACCTTTAACTTCTATAAGGGTCAACGTGTTATCTATAAAATTGGAATGATAACGTCTCCTTCACAGACTTGTGAAGATTGTGAGAGACAACGTTTATGAAGATGCTTTGTAAGCTATACGTTAGTGATTACTGTTCAACACGGAAAAATCTCTGCTCTCCTGCTCTACTCCAAAACAAACCAGGATAGGTCAAAGGCCAGAGATCACAGTTCAGTTTCTCTTCCTGAATGTCTTGTTGAGGTTCTGACGAAGTAGAAATTTTGGAATCAGAATTTAGGTCCCTGGGAAATGAGGAAGTGGGGAATTACAAATAGGAACAGGACCTTCTGGGGAGAGCACGAAGGCTCTGAAGGGAAGAGCCTCGGCCTGATATTGGAAGACCACTTCTTTGCTCTTCGGATGATGTGTTAATTTGCTCTTTCTTCCATAGAGAGTGCATGCAAAGTGCTATGCCACGTGCTCTTTGGTGTACTAAGATACCCAGTACAAAGCTACTGCTTTTAAAGAGCTCATGGGTTATGTGGGAGAAGAAAACTACAAATACAACTAAGTACAAATTAAGGTAGAGTGAAAAAATGAGAAACAGACTTTAAAGTAAAGTGCTGGGGAGTACAGAGGAAAGAGAAGTTAATTCTACTGGAACACTGCAGGAAGATGGTGACATATGTGCCAAATTTTGAAGGGTGCATAAAATTTCAATAGATGCAAAACATATAGGGGTATTCCAGTCTAAAGAAACAGCATAAGCAGAAACATGCAAGTGTGACAATAAATAATAGGTGCAAATGCCAAAGCGTTTGGTCTATGAAAAGAAGTAACGGGATAAAGCTGAAAAGTAGGCTCAGGGCATAATATAGAAGGCTGAGGACACTGCGGTAGGGAATATGGACTTTACTTTGTGGATAATGGATATTCAGTGAAGGTATGTGAGCAGGAAAATAGTTTGGCAATTAGGAGTCCCTGGAGACCTTAGGAGTCCCTGGAGAGACCAGTTCCTGTGAAGCTGTGAGGACAGAACAACAATTCTAAGGGTTGAGAAGTGATGTGAGGGGAGAAAAAGGAGGGAGTTTCTTAATCTGAAAAGTGAAGAAAATACCACCTACTCCCCTAAAAGCAATGAATCTAAATAGAATGTTGAATTTTCTCTCTGACACTAGAATATCAGAAAGGTCAGAAAAAGCAATGAGGCTGAAGTCCCATGAACCTCCCAAAGTGTAGAGAATTATCCCTAATGGAAAATGTCCCTAAATGTACCAGACCAAATAAGTTAAGCCCAATGATTCTGAATCAAAGCTTTCAGCACCACCTCACTTCCCAGACAACACACACTAACCAGCCACCCCGAGGTCAGACATCTCCCCAGGACACTGACGTCCCTGCCTCCTCTTGCTATGTCACCAGCCCTTTCCTTACGGAGCAAACAAAGAGTTGCAGTGGGAGGTGGGCAGGGATGGAGGGAAGGGGATAAAGCTGGGCCCTACAGCTGGATCTGCACCTCTAGAGAAGCCATCCGGTCCAGAGTCTATTCATCCTCTTGCCCAATTGTTGGCAAGTCATGCTTTGAATATGAGTCAGGAGATGGGAATGGAGTCTTGTAAAGTCAAATTACAAATGGGGACAGGACTGTATTCTCTGGAAAAGCAATCTTGGTTAGGAGAAAAACTATATACTTATTTTTTGGTTTAGGGCATAGGAGCTTTGCCAAGTCTTTCTCTAATGACCTTCTAGTTAAATCCTCAGAGGATATTTCAAACTGGGAAAGGCTCTTGGGTGAGGAGAACGGAAATTTCTCCCTCTCAAAAAGAATGTAGAGACATAAACATGAACTACAAGTTCAATGGCATCTCTGATGGTCCCTTAATGGCTGTGGCTGACCTGGCAGGCAGCTGTGCCACCAGCTCAAGGGCAGGCAGCAGGTGTGACCAGGAGTCTCTGCTGAGGAACAGCTCTTCTTACCTTTTGCTGATGCGGTACTCCACTTCTAACTGCTTTTCCCCTGATGCCACCACTGATCTCTGTAGCTGGTGGGAAGGACATAAGACAAAGTCCAGGTGGTTATAATGCAAAGGAAAGGGCTCGGGCATTTCCACAGACACACCGCTCACCTAAGCATAAACATAGCAATTGGCAGTTCCTCCCTAATTAAAGGATGTTTGGCACATGGCACTTATTTAATGGTAGCTATCGATCTTGCAAAGAAAAAAATAAGTGACCAAAAAATTTTAGAGTTGAAAAGAACCTTTAGTACCACATCTGATAGACAGTAAGCACTCAGTAAAAGTTTGTTAAGCTGAAATAACTGATATTTGAATCCCTTTTGTATCTGCAAGGCTGTGAGTTAGGTAAGAACAAGGGCTATTTTTCATTCACCTTTGTATCTGGTGTCAAGCACAGGGCCTGACCTATGTAAGTACTCAGTAAGTGTCCATGAAATTAAATGAACACCTCCAACAACAGGAAACTCTCCACACCCAGAGGCAGCCTGCTCCTTTTAAACAATTCTGACAAAAGTTCTTCCTTCCTGAAAATCAAAATCTGTTTTGCTGAAACTGCCTTGATTATGAAAAAACAACAGGTTTGAAGTCACTGATCTAACTGAAATGTCTCTATTTTGTTCTGAATTCCACACTCAGAGGCAGCCTGCTCCTTTTAAACAATTCTGACAAAAGTTCTTCCTTCCAGAAAATCAAAATCTGTTTTGCTGAAACTGCCTTGATAATGAAAAAACAACAGGTTTGAAGTCACTGATCTAACTGAAATGTCTCTATTTTGTTCTGAATGTCTGGATATAACATGTATACTATTTTTAAGCAAAGTGCCTCCTCACTGCAAAATCACTATACTAGGGACAGAAAGAGAAATATTATTTATTTACATAAGGATATGTGTACTTCTGCCTCTGCTATCAGAATATCAGCTCCACGAGGGCAAGGATTTGGTCATTTCTCAGTGCTATATCCCGAGGGTCCAGAGAAGGCCTGGCAGGGAGTAGGCGCTCAGTATTGGTGAAATGAACAAATGTATGAATGAAGCAGGGCCCTGCACTGACCGGCACTCAAGGGATTCAGACCCAGCCCTGGCCCTTCACAGGCAGTCAGAGCCGTGTCCAGGGCACTGAACTGCACCGAGACAGAAACCCTCTCCCTTTTCTCAGGCTTCTATAATGTCATCTTTCCAGCTGCTAAGCCAGATGAACAATCTTGGAAAAGCCTCTTCCTTTCCTTGGAAATGTTTCCCCATCTATAAAATGCAGCACTGGAACAGCATGTTCTTGGGAGTTCCTCTCAGCCTATCGCTATACAATATTAGTATGTGAGCAATCAGGTGACTGATATTGCATCTTTCTATCCTTCACCAGTTATTCCTGGCATCCTCTCTCGAGACATTCTTAGAGGAGAGATTCATAGAGGAGAGATGCTCTCTTCTGTTCTTTTAGGACAAAATCAATGGCTTAAAAACACACAGACACACAAAAATCCTAGGGAATCCTCCTTCTCTCAAGAAGCCACCTTGTACTTAATTCCTTTAACAAATGTTTACTGTCCATCTACAAGTCATTCATTTTTTGTCAGCACCACACTCTACCGTACAAGTCATTCATTTTTTGAAGCAAATATTTATTGATTCTCTGTGCTAAGCACTGTGCTAAGCATTGGAAAAACAATATATAAAACCAGACAATGTCCCTGCCCACAAGTCATCTAATGGGACTCTCACGGGCAAGTACAAGTGCTGTGGAAATACAGAGAAGGGCATCTAGCCCATTCTTATGAGGAACAAGAAGGCTTCCCAGGATGTTCTCAAGACACACTGGAATCATACAGGTGAAAAGACGTCAAGGGCAGAGCATTCCAGGCAGAGGGAACAGTGTGTGGCTGGAATGTCAGTGTCGAGTGCAAGGGGGAGATGTGGTAGGAGGGGCTGGCAGCAGCCAGGCCATGGAGCTTTGTAAGTATTTGAGGACAAAAGTGGCCCACTAAAGAGTTTAAGCAAGGGCTGGACATGGTCAGGTTTGACTTTTTAAAGATTACTCATGCTGCATCAGGCAGAACATAGAGCAAGGCGTTTCAAGAAAGATGAAATCTGATGCCTGCTAGTTTATATCCTACTTAGGGATACAGGATGCTAACCCATGAAACTGCAGGTGATGCCAGACAACACATAAATGGCAGAACAATTTAAAAATTAAGTATCAAAGAACTGGCAACAAAAGTTTTGAGTCCAGAGGAGGAATAGATTATTGTATGTGGCTCCAAAACGTGCTCTGAAAAAAATGTTCACTTAAAGAACCTATGAGAGTAGGCCAGAGTGGTCAGGGCTAGTGGGCCAAGGGAGATGTGGGGTTTCAGCTGAGTCCTTAAGGATGGATAGGATGCGGAGAGAGAGAAGTGACAAGACAGCATGCTTTGGGGAAGGGACAGTGAAGAGGAAGAGCGAAATTCAACACAAGCCACTGATGCATCTGTGCTCAGTTCCCATGGGGGAGCCACTGCCATATAAGCCCAGGGCTCCTTCCCAGGAGAGCCAAAGACCAGACAGGCCTCAGAAAACCCAGTGAGATGCTTCTCGGGGGAGGGTGTGTGGCAAGGTCTGTGCATGCCAAATGGATGACCTGGCCATGAAGGATTAAACGAACATCTCTGTGTGGGCCGCCTCGCCTGTCCTGTTACCACAGCAACAGAGCTGTTCTAAGGGAAAAGCAGCTGCTTGCCAAATGCCTCTGCTGGCTCACGGAGAAGCTGAAGCTGTTGAAAATACATTGTTCCAATTCACCAGTGGAGCTTAATCATCTCAAAAACCTCTGTACAAAGATTCTAGACTTGCCTGGAGGGGCTTCTAAATGAAATAATTATTGCTGCTCTTCTTCCTCTAATCCACATTTGCTGTCAGTCTTCCTTAAAATCATAAGCCTGATCATGTCACTTGCCCATTTAAAACTGTCCAGCAGCTTTCCCACTGCCTACAGGATAAAATCCAAACTCCCTGGCATGGCCTCTAAGGTGTCTGCTAACGGTGTCTCCCATCCAGCCTCATCTCCTATCACCTTCCATCTTTGCACACCTCAACCACCAAGCTTCTCCCTGTTGTCTGCACACGTCACATAGCAGGCCCTTGCACATGTTGTTTTGTCTTCCTGGCATACCCTTGCCACCTTCTTTCTCTGATGGACTTCACCTCCACAGCGAAGCCCTGTTCCCTCCTCTGCTCCCATCTTCTCTCCACCCACCTGCCGTTTCTTCAGAGAAAGGCTCACTTTTTGATGCTGTCATAGCACAACGCTCTGCACACACCTCAATTACAGCACAGATCACAGTGCATTGTAAACATTTCTTTTCCCGCATTATTCCAGAAAGATGCTGTGGCTTCATTATTGTAAAAGTTGAGCGCCAATCCCATGTCCATCACACAGCAGGCTCTGTTCTGTTGAATGACTAAATGGCAGCTCACCTGCCGTTTCCTCAGAGAAAGGCTCACTTTTTGATGCTGTCATAGCACAACGCTCTGCACACACCTCAATTACAGCACATATCACAGTGCATTGTAAACATTTCTTTTCCCACATTATTCCAGAAAGATGCTGTGGCTTCATTATTGTAAAAGTCGAGCGCCAATCCCATGTCCATCACACAGCAGGCTCTGTTCTGTTGAATGACTAAATGGCAGCTGGGATGAACAGCACAAGTTAAGATCATACTGTCTGGTTTGACTTAACTAATTCTGAGACAGTATTAATATGCTGTCTCTGGAGAGATAACCTGCTCACAGAAGTGGGGGAGACTGTTTTTTTTCCTAAATATTTACTGCACTTCCCAGGGGGAGGAGTAAACGTCCTCCCCATTGACACTAAGCTTGGTTGGGTGACTTGCAGGGCCTTCCCTGTGGAAGAATTAGATAGACACCTCCTGCTGATTGCAGTAGTGGCCACACGCTTTGCTTTGACCAATGAAATCTGGATGGAAGGAATGTCAAGCACTTCCAAGCAGAAGTTTTAAGAGCCAGCTCCTGTTTCCCATCCCTGTCTTTTTCCTCTCCCATGAGACTGGCAATATCCCAGACAGACATTGCTCTATCAGGCTGGGTCCCAGAGTGATAACAGTGTGGGACAGAGCTGCAGCCAACCTAAGACAGACATGTAATGTGAGAAAAAAGCAAACTTTCATTGTTGTTGTCTCTGAGATTTGGGGGCTGCTTGTTACGAAGCATAACTTAGCCTGAGTTAACTGATACAAGAAGGCAGAACAGCAGAGTGGTGATCAATGTACCTCTATGTTCCACTTGTGGCTCTAGCTACATGTGTCACCTTATCAAGTCCCTTCCCCTCCCTGGGCCTCAGTTTCCTCTTTAACAAAACAGTGAAGTTGAACTAGATAATCTTTCCACTCTAACTCTATAAATATGTGCTAGAATTTCACTTGCCCTGCCATTTCACCTTTTTTTTTCTTCTACCAATTATATGGAATGGTTAACATTTTTGAAGTGTTCCTTTTTATTTTTTAGGTTAAATTTACATACAATGATGCATGGGTCTCAAGTGGACCATTTGCTGAGTTTCAACAAATGCATACAACCATGTACCCCACAAGATACTGAGAGCACGTGCTCAACACCCCAGAAAATCCACTTGTACCTCATCCCAGTTAATCCTTCCCTTCCAGAGGCAACCGCTATTGTGATTTTTTCCACTCTGATTAGTTTTATGCGATGGTTGGCATTTTGGACTCCTGGACTGATGAAGTATCTAGTTGTTCAGGTTGCCTGTTCTCACACTCCTGAACTCCAGACATGTGAAGACAAAAAGGGAAGTGTTTAGCAGGCTTTGGGGACACTTACCCATGGTTCCGCAAGCTCTCTAAGTTTCTGAGCCTCTGAGTCACTGACAAAGTCATGGTAGAGAGCAACGTAGGGCTCCCGGTGGATGATCTCCTTCCGGATGGGCTGAAGCAGCAGGAAGGGGCTGGAATTGGCCTCATAAGAGCAGTAAAGGCTAGGGATCTGGTAGTGAGTGGGCTGGAAGGAAAGAGTAGAATCAGCATAAGAGAAGGAGGGTCCAGGAGCAGAAAACAAATCGGGGGAACTAAGGCACAAAATAACTGGAATGTGGGCCGGCCTGGTGGCGCACTGCTGCAGTGCGCCGCTTGGGAATGCGGCGGCACTCCTGCCGAGGGTTCGGATCCCACATACAGACCGGCCGCTCACTGGCTGAGCGAGGTGCGGGCGCAACACCGAGGGTTGCGATCCCGTTGCCGGTCCCGGTCTGGTGCGGGCATGACACTGAGGGTTGCGATCCGTTGCCGGTCACGAAAAAAGACAAAAACGAAAAAAAAAATAACTGGAATGCGAGAGATACAGAATGAGATTTGGGGACTCAGTGTAGTCACACTGAGGCTGTCCACGTGAGCTTTATTGTTTTTAATGCATCAGCTCTTTCCCTTCACATTGTCCCAATTCTAACTTCTCACTCTCTAGCAAAGCCTGTCCCCCTTTCTCTTTCTCTGAGGAATCCTACCTGGGAACCCAGGGTCTGACATAACCCTTCGTAGGTGTCTCGGGTCTGCAGGTGGGGTACATTGGGTCTCTGGATGACAGCCTCAGCTACCGCCTGGTTGGGGCTCTCTGCCAAGAGCCTTTCATATTTCAAGACATTCCTGGCCATCCTCTTATTATCTGGGCCTGGGAGAAATCAGAGTAGGAATAATAATTAACAAATACTGGCCCCAGGGAGTGCTGCCGAGGTTTCCGGCAGCTTCACTGCTGCATAGGATTGGCAAATGGACCCCCTGAATAATTCCTCACGTCAATGCACAGGAGGATGTAAGGCCCTCACTCCCAGAAGAGAACCCAGGGTTAAAAAGATTAACTTGGGCCTGGTAGATCTGAAGGTACAAAGGACTTTGGGAAGGAAAGTGGAACTTCACACTCTTAGACCACAGGATCATGAGGATGGCTGCTCTGGGATAGTGTGATGTCAGTTTTATACAGGGAAGAAGGACCTTCATTCATTCATTCATTCATTCATTTCCCATCCATTCAATAAATCTTCAGTGAACATCTACTATGTACTATATACTATGCTAGAGGCTAACCTCCTAAAGTTTAGAGTCTAATGGAGAAAAGGGACATTAAATTACCCCTTACAACAAAACTTGATAAGTAAGTGCAATAAAAGAGAGATCCAGAGAGCCAAAGCCTATAGCAGAGGGACTCAACCTATTCTTCCCTGGAGAAGTGGAAGCCAATTCATTCTTGGCTCCACTAGACCCTTCAAATTTCGCAACTGGCTGAGCACAGCAGTATGAGAAAAGGGGTTTTAGATGTTGGCTCTATCCTGGATTCCCACAGAGCCCTTGAGAAACCCAGTAAATCCTGTCTTGTTTGTGCCCACCTGTTTGTGCCCACTTTGGCTGGAAGGTGCACCAGGGGTTGGCAGCTACCCAGGGCCTGCTGGCCTCTCTCAGTGCATCTCAGAAGGAGGTGCTGAATTGTTCTAATGCTCCCAAAGCATCTTTCTCTGAGGAGCCCAATATGCTTCCTACCACCACCACCACCACCACCTTGGCAAAGGAGGAAAGGAGGGGGCAGAAATTACCATTCTTTATTTAACGAGAGGAGAAATGCAGTTTTAGAGTATGGAAATGATGAGCCCAAACACCAATGAAAATATTGCAAAGCTAGAAATGAAACTGGGAATTTCGATTTGCCCTGTCCTACTTAACCACCTATAACAGTACACAATTTGGGTTCTCTGGGAAAGGCACTGATTTCAATAGATCAAGCACAAAGAAATAAAGGAAGGTTGGGTTATGGTTTCGTTCATACCACTAAAATTACCCATGTGTTTCTGGACCATGCAGCTACTGTCTTATCCTACTGTCTGCTAAATTATCAGATCAGAGTAACACTACTAAATGGGTTCATTAAAAAGTTATGAATATATACAATTGTAACGTCCTACATGAAATACTTTATAAATATTAAAACTAATAATGATTGTCGTATCTTATTTTAGTACCTAATACCATATTAAAGGAAAACCTAGGAATCCATCTACCACCAAAATTTTAAGCAAATATATAATATATATATATAAAACTGCATGCAAAAATATCCAAGCAGAGAGCTGAGCTAGACAGTATCTCCCTCCTGTTTAACTCATTGTGTTTTCAGCAAAGCATTCCCTCAAAGGGATAGAAGCTGAACTCTGTGGCCACCTGGGCAGGATACCTGCATAGCAAAGTGAGCTCTGGTTTAAAGGGATGAACTCTGCAAGCAGCTGAAGTGAATAATCCTCTGAGTCACTCTCTTTCCTGCACACGCAGTGCACGTTGATTTCATTTATTCCAGGTCTACTTCCAAAACCTGGGTCTTTAAAATGCCTCTGAAAAAACCAGCTCCCAATCCTGAATTTGTTCCCATTGAAGCAACACTAATACATAACTGGCTGGGGTGGAAGAGGGAAGGGACAGCTTGATATCTTTTCCAACAACTTAAAAATTCAGCATTTTCCAACCAACTTAAAAATTCACCCCCCATGCATTGATCTGCATATAAGTAATACGTCATCCAAAATTTGAAATGTACCTGGATCATGAAATTAGAATAATAAAATAGATAGCTATATTTCACTTGCAGGAATTAAAGGCCAGGAACAGAAGGGATTTCCTGAAAGTCAGACCTGTGGCTGGTGTATCTTTTATCATTACGTACTGTAGAGAAGAAACTCTCGGGAGAGGCTAAGAGCACACGAAACATTTCCTGCCTATTAAAAAAAAAAAAAAAGGAAAGAAAAGAAAAGAAAGTGTTAACTGCACTGAGAATATCTCCTTTGACCAAATCATTTAATGGATTTTTTTAAAAAACGATAAAATATTCTTACCACAAATAGATTATAAGTCTCTGTGAAAGGAGCAGAAGCCGAGAAATGCAGAGGATTTGTGGTCCTGCTGCAAACCGGGTCTCATCAGTTTCCTCATTTACAAATGACTCATTACTATACTTACCAGGGAAGGTGGTAAAATCAATGAAGACAAACTTTCTTAAAGTGCCCTCAAATCTTCAAGTGTGCAAAACCACGTAATTGCAGGGTGTTGTTATTTGGTTGTATTTTATTATTAAACTTAATATGAAACTATAAAACCCTAGTAAAAATATAATTTGTTCTCCAGATTCAGTTCTTCCTAGAGTCTACAAAGTTAGTAGGAGGGGGGCAAAGGAAGAACTGAAATGGGAACATTCCCCCCTCCCAGTGCATAGGAATGAGCTCTCCCTGCAGCCATTCAACTGTAGGCTCAATGTGGTCAAAAGGAAACGGGCTTTCCAGACAAATCTGAGAACAAAATCCTGTACAGGTGGGCTGCAACCCTCTTCGTGCTGAACAATGACTAACTGATAGAAATGCATTTCCTCCCAATCATTTCATTTCAGAATATTAAAAATTCATTTTTAATGATAAAAGCAATAATTAGCACATTATAAAACACACGGAAAATGGAAAAAAATTACCCCACTAAAATCCAGGTACTGCTAGCACTTTGGATAGTTTTGGTGTAGTTATGTTTTTCACACATTTTCACATCCTGATTTTTTCACTTTATATCATCAGGAGTATTTTTATATTGCATAGTCTTCATAGACAGTATTTTTAAATGGCTGCATTTTATTCCATCCAGAAGCTACATCACAGAGGACCTAACCATTCTACTAGTCTTGGACATATTGATTGTTTCTAATTTTTTAATATCATGAATTATTCTGTCCTATATTTAACAGAGAAATAGTTAAGTAATCTATGGATATCTTGTAATGTCAGATATTAACTGAAGGTTATAGATTTTCAAACTCTTTGTGAGATGAAGAGAACTGAAATACAATTATACATATTTTTAAAACTCAAGAGCCTTGTAATGAAATAAAATGATACTTTATGAAGAACAAAGTTAGTTTCTTTTGGCATTGCAGTTCCATTTCTTTGGAAATGTGCACACTAAATAACATTAAATGAAAAAGGATAACACGTAGTATATAATATAATAATAATGCTTACAGTTACTTGAGTGCATGGCGTATGTCATGCATTGTGATAAGGACTTTGCATATATGAGAGTACTTCAAAAAGTTCATGGAAACATTGATCTTTTAATTTTATTTTTCCATGAACTTTTTGAAGTATCGTCATGTTAGCTCATTCACTCCTCACAACACTTTGAGGTGAGCATCATTTTTATTCCCCTTTTACAGATGAGAAAATTGAGGCCCAGGGAGGTTAAGTAAATTGCCCAAGTTTTCACAGAATTTGGACCCTGGTCTGTGTGATTCCAGAGCCTATGGTTTAACCACTACGCTTTACTGGCCATCATTACTGGCAGTTACTAAACATTTTTTTTTACTAAAATATATAATGAAAAAAAATATGTTAAATTTTATATGATAATGCAAGTCCCAATACATAGGGACTTTTACCTCTAATTTAGTAGGGGGAAGGAGTAACATAAATCATTAGTAAGACAAAGCCTTATGTTCTATTACTGTGGCATAAAAAAGAAGAAAGTGCTATAAAAGCACAAAGGAGGAAAGTCTGGGGAGTGAGGGGAATTAAAGAAGACTTCACAAAGTAGGTGACATTCGAGCTGTGTCTTGTAAGATGAACAGAATTTCACCAGACAAAGCACGATGTGGAAAGGGAGCGTCTACCAGTGAGCAGAAGAAAAATCTAAGTCATCAGAGTTAGGGGGAAACAAGACTAAGAATTAGGCACTGTTTTAAAGCCATCTTTCAGAGCAAGCAGCTTGAGTTTATCTTCTCTGAGTCTCTCCACGTCGACACTCCATTTTGTTCCTCTATTAAAATTCATCACTTCTCACCCTTTGTTACATCGCAGTTGTTCTGTTTTAGGTTTAATACATAGCAATGGAGCAGGAGAGTTAGGAAGAGCATGTAGAAAGTTTTACAACAAAATCCACTTACCAGGAACTTCCATGACAGGAACAGGACTGTTTGCTACACTGAGAATAAGTCTGTTTTGGCAGCAGCACGTGGGTTTGGACCACCGTAGGTTTAATACATAGCAATGGAGCAGGAGAGTTAGGAAGAGCATGTAGAAAGTTTTACAACAAAATCCACTTACCAGGAACTTCCATGACAGGAATAGGACTGTTTGCTACACTGAGAATAAGTCTGTTTTGGCAGCAGCACGTGGGTTTGGACCACCCACGTCCTCCTCCCTTTTCTCAGGAGAAGAGGGAAACAGAAAGGAATGTGGAGAGCAGAAATGGTTTATTAGCTTTGGAAGCTCCAGGGAAGAGGCTCCATGGCAATTTTTCCAAGCCTATTCTTGAAGACTGCACCGCTCTGGTGGGGAATGGGGTTAGCTATACAAAAGGATGGCAGTTGCTCTATTTAGGGAAATTAACTTGTAGGTGAGGCACAACAGGTAGTAGGTAACACCCAGAGGAGGCACTGAGGCTAGTCCTCTGCAACGGTGACTCTGGCTCTGTAGCCAGACACTAGTCATGTTACAGTTGGATAACAGTTGGACTCAACTGCAGATGGGAGAGGAAAACAATCAAACTTCTTCCCCCCTGATAATGTTATAGCATAGTATCTGTGAAGAGTTATGAGTTGCTGAGAGTGCAAAAGAGTGATCTACATTTGCCATGCACCCATCGAATATTTGTAAATGCAGCTACTGCTGGTACAGCTGAGAGACTGCCTCCTACGTGGGAAACAGTGACTGAAAAGCAGCCAGTGCATTGGTTAGAACACTGAACTAAGAGTCACACAGACCTGGGTTCTAATCCCAGCCCTATGAGTTTTGTGACAAGTTAGAAATCTTTTGAAGAGACAATTTAATCACACGTGAGATATAGAAATAATAAAATAACTGCCCTGCTTAAGTTGTATTTGGTCCTTTTAAGAAGGTGAAACTAAGAGACATGATAATTCTCAGAAAATTGTAAAACAGATATAAAGCATTACATTTATTGTGATAAGAGCAATGACCCTTACTTATTCCCCTACCTGGAAATAGGCAAAGGCCAAGTGATCCAAGGCATCTTCTAGACTTGCCTCATCCTCTGTCTTCCATTCTCCATATGATCCTCGGAAGAGACTGACAGCCTCCTCCAGCCATGGAATGGCATGGTAGTAATCCCCCATGTCATAGGCCACCTGTAGGGAACACAAATACCATCACTAAAGCCTTAGTCCACAGGTGGAGGAAAGGAAATGATGATTGTAAGAGTAAGAGGGCCTTTGAAACCCAAGAAGGCAAGTTTTAATCTCAAATTCATTTTAGTTCAATTGATTAAGCATCTATCATATACAAGTTATTGCAGTAGGCAGACAAGAGACACAAGAGATTTGAGGAACTTATAATCTGGAGGAGAAGAGAGATGTGAACTCATACTACTGCAATATGGGGCAGAATGGCCTGAGTGCTGAAGGAAAATGCATGTGTGCTGTGGGGCACAGAGAAGGGAGGAGATGGGAATCTCAGCAGGCATCGAAGAAGAGGCTTTGGAGACGGGTCTTCCTCACAGAAGGAAAAGACTTTCAATGAGCAGAGATTGGGAGGAAAAGCATGTTAAGAGAGTGGCAGAAACAAGTCAAGAATGTAGTCAAGTAGTCCACTGTGGCTGTAGCCTAAGTGAAAAGACACTGCAAATGAACTTAAAAAGGCAGAAGGGCTAAGCTAATGACAGTCCTGAATATCATGTTTTTAGGAAGATAGTGCTGGTAGCAATGTGAGGAATGGATTAAAGTCATCCATTTATTTATTTAATAGTTACTGAATATTTACTGTGAACCTGGTGGCCTGCCCTTAAAGAGTTTAAATCAAGTGAGGGGCACATGAGTAAACCAACAATTGCAACACAGTGCAGTAGAGACTGTAATGAAGGTAGGTATGGGAATGCGATGGGAGCTCAGTGGATCTGTTCTTCATTAAATGTTGGAATGCTGAGCAATATGGCCACATGTACCAGACATAGCCTCTGTCTCCTAATAGCTTATAGTTAACTAGAAAACCAGAGCTGCGGGTGGAATTTCCTGGAAGTCAATATTGGAGACAACATGGAATCATAAAGTCACAGAATTAGAAGAACTCTTACAAAGTGATCTAATTCAAGTATAACTTCCAGACAGGGAAAAACCTAGAGATAATGCAACTCTGTAACCTACATAATAAATCAATTCCTATCCCTGGTCTGCCATAGCCTGCTGTTTTATCTTTCTGGTCCTCAAGTTTCCTATTTGTAAAAAGGTTGAGCTGAAGAATAACAATCAAAAATGACTGAACTTTTCCTGCCAAATTAATAATTTAATTAAGATTTCCATGAGGAACTTCAAGCCCCATTAGTATGGTAGACTGAGATAACTGAAATTCTTCCAAACACAAATACTTAGAAATTTTGAATAAAATATAAAGGCATTTTATGATATATTTTCAAAAAAAAAAGGAAAATACCAGGTACCAGAAACAAGAAAGGAGTTAAAAACCCAGGCAATAAGCTTATGAGCAGATGCTGAAGCCACCTCGGAGGGGCGTGGATGTCAGTGTTAGTAACCTCGGGGTTAGTTACACCGTCCACATGAAGACATCAGATAAGTAGTCCTTAGACCTCTAAAAACCTAGGAATTGGAACAAGACACCCTCATAAAACTGGATTCCATGAAAAACTACACCTTAAGGAAAAAGTGTACTAAGGGGAAAGACAGATCAGAAAAAAATTTACTCACTGGCTTAAGGAGATAAAGTTGGTTTGTTTCTGTCTGGCCTCTTTGTAGGGAAATAAAATGTCTCCTTAGAATATTCTCCATTTCGAGCCTATACCTCACCTGAGTTTAGGGTTTGAATATGCACTATTCATATGGTCAAAGAACTCCCCAGGCCAATAAATCAATATAAAAATGGATCTAAGGCCAGTGATAGCACCAGAGTTCCTGGAAGAAAACCCAAATCCTCTCTGCAGGGATATTCCCATAACTCTCTTAGGGGAAAAATTGTCCCGCTGAAAATAAGCTCCCAATCAAACAGGACAAATTATATCAGGAAATAATCAAACATGAGCAAATGTCAACAGACACAATAGTACAGTGATGGAATTAGGTAACTAAAAGAGTTCCAGAAAACAGAAAGGCTTATTAGCAAATAACAATCCACGGAGGAAGGGACTGGGAAGTACAGATGAAACACATTTGGCCATCTGTTAATAATTATTGAAGCTTATTCTTTGACCCAGCAATACCACTCCCAGGTATTTATTCAAGAGAAACAAAAACAAATGTCTACAGAAGGACATACATAAGAATGTTAAAAGCAGCTTTATTCACAGTAGCCCAAACTGGAAACAATCCAAGTTCCATCAACTGGAGATCGGATGAAGAATTTGTGGCGTATTCATATAATGGAATACTGCTCAGTGATAAGGAATGAAACTACTAATAAATGCAACAACGTGGATGACTTTCACAGATACAATGTGCTGAGTGAAAGAATCTGGACTCAAAAGAGTATACATACTGTAGGTTTCAGGACAATGGTTACCTGGGCAGGGGAGAGTAGAGCAGGAAGGGTGGCGGGTGGTGAGAAAGAAAAAGAGCGGAGCTTTAGCTTTATGTAACATCTTTTTTTAAAAAAAAAAAAAAAAAAGAAACCAATATAGCAAAATTTGAACATATATTTCATTTCAGTTACATATATAATTGCTTATTATATTATTTTAGGTACTCTTCTTATATTTGAAATGTTTTATCTTTCAAAATAAGTAAATAAATACAGAAATAAAGATTGCCAGTGAGACTTTCAGGAAGTGAATTACTAAATCTACAACATATGGTTTTAGTTTCAGAATAGCCTCACTAATGAAGCATATGTTGGCACCATACATCAAGCTATTTTAACTGGCTTAAGTTTAAATTGGCAATGAACAAGATGACTGAGCTCTGATCCTGCTCAGGATCTCAGAAAAGGGAAAACAGCACGTAGAGTGACTCAGGGCTACCCTCTCTGCATTAGTTTGTAAGACTGATTCCTGAAACTTGGAATCAGGACACACGAGGCCCACTCAGCTCTGCTAATGAACACTGTAGGAGCCAGGAAAAATCACTTTCCTGCAATACGCATCTTCCAAAATATTAAAAAATATTTACTTCATTGCTTCTTAAGGCAAAGGCTGGCAAAGCATATATCATAAAATGATCTCAAGTGTGATTATAACTTATGATCAAAGGTGAGTTAAATACCTCATAGGGGGGTTCCTGAAGAATATTTCCTCAAGTAATGTTAAAGTGATGAGATGTCCTCAGTTTTTTGACAGTATTTTAATTTAGCATTCTAAATGCTTAGGAAATGTTGCAAGGGATTCCAGAAAGTCTCAGGAGGCTGAGTTTCCATGATCTTACCTTCACGCCACCATCTCTTATCCCTTTCTCCAGCCTTCCCCCTGCTTTCCCTTCCCACCAGTGGTTCATCTACTGGCAGCATGCTAGAGTTAGGGTGACCAAAGGACCATTTTGTCCAGTTTATGTCTGTTGTCCTGGCATAATTAATAACACTCCTTTCACTCTCAAGAGTGTCCTAAGTGTATGATCACCTTAGCTATCACGGAAAGAGTGTGGATTCGGAGTTAAAAGACTGGCCTAAAAATTTAGTTCTGCTACTAAAATTGTATAACTTTAGGCATGTTATTTCACATCTCTGAACCTTGGTTTCTTTCTCTGAAAAGGGAAATAATATCAAATTTCCAAGGTTACTGTAAGTATTAGAAATCAGAACATAGTCATTTCACCCACAAGTAACCAGAGCCTAGCAGTCATCCTTCTCCCTGACTGTCATTACCTTGCCAACTTGGAAGCAGTCGTCTCCTGTGAGGGAGAAGAGCCTTCTAGGACTGTACAGATCAGTCACGGCAGAGCCAGTGACTCTCTGAAAGACCCCTCGGGCCAGGCCCTTCACATTGAGCATGTACACGTCCTGCAGCCGCATCAGGGCCCTTGCAGCTCCCTCAAGGTCCTCAAAGGCCGGAAGGTCTTGCTCCACCTTCTCATAACCATCTTTCAGAGCTATAAAAGCATAAAAACATCAATTCGCCATTCAAAAAGCAGATGTTGAGCATTAATACATACAAGGCATGACCACCTGTTCAAATATTTCATGAGATAACGTTTTATTTATCTTTGTGTTCTCAGTGGCAAGCCCACTTCCTGGCAGAGTGGGTGCTTAATACAATTTTCTGAATGAGGAACGTTCTGAATGAGTGAATGCGCAGTAAAAAATACGGCACACACCTTCACACATTGTCTCCAAGAATCTTGCCCTTTGTGGGGACAACTCTTCTTCCTCATAACTCTTAAGTTCAAAGGAGAATAAATTAGGAAAGTGGTCTTGCTACATACAATCACACTGTAGTGACAATTTAACAAAATAGAAACTATTAGAAGACCACCACTTTCTGCACATATATAAGTGGGATGATACATCCTGCACTTCTTCACAGGGTGGTAATGGAGATCGGTGAGATAGTGGATATGAAACACTTTCTAACATATAGTCATATAAGCCCATTAGCAAGGGACCTACTTCTTTGTACTCAGGAGAGCTAAGGAGATCAAGTAATACCTATTCCGTTATGCTTAATCCCATCCCATCAGAATCTCTCTCCTTACCACTAAGGCAGGAGATAGAATCTTCTCTCCTAGCCTCCAGCCCTCCTCCTCATTACCTTGGATGTTCTCACTGGCCTCCAGACTATGCACCACATTCCTCCAGTCAGACTGCAGGCGTTTGATAAGAGTAAATGCAAGGAGAGGGTTAGCCACAGGGGTTGCTGAATCCTCATGTAAAGAAAGTACCTTGTCATAGAATCTGAAAGAGAGGAGTAGAATGATCTCACCTCCTGATGCAACCGCTACCGCTAGGAAGGTTGGCATGGTGTGTATACATGAAGAGTAGCTAAAACTGAAATGCTGAACATCTTGAGACTCATGTAATGGTCTAACCAAAAAGCCATGCAAGCACAAAGAACACGAAAACTACAAATATGACAAAGGTAGGCCCACTCATTTGTTCACTGAATGAATCAGTCTATACAAATTACTATACGACAGGTACCATGCTAGATGCTAGAGATACAAAGCAAAGACAGGGTCCAGCTCTCAGAGTTCACAAACAAGACTTTTTCTTCTGTCACCACTCTATACACAATATTGAGTATCTGGTAGGAACTCAAAAACATTGTGAATTAATTACAATAATTGTGATACATGCTATGAGAGAAGTGAGTGTATAATGCTATGGCAGTTTGTGGTCAGAGCACCCAACCCAGATGGGAGTTAGAAGGGTAAGGGAAGACTTCCCCCCAAAAATGGCACTTGATTTAAGTCTTGAAGGATAAATTAAGATATCGACAGCTACTATTTACTGAGTCCTTACCATGTATTAGGTATCCTGCTGAGTGCTTTAAATATAGTCTCATTTAATCTCCCCAGCAATTCTTAGTGTAGATTTTATTTTGCCCATTTTACAGGAGAGAAAACAGAAATAAGACCACACTGTTTGTAAATGGCAAAGCCAGGATTGAACCCAAGTCCACCTGACTCCGAAGCCTGGGTTCTCAGCTGATTTTGCCATACTGTTTCCCATGGATCTAGAACAAAGAAGGGAAGAAGAGTGTTTTTCCAGCCAACAAGGGCCAATGTGTACAAAGGCACAGAAGCCTGACATATATTTGTTCATTCAGCAAGACAATATATATTGACTACTTCCTGGATGTCAGACCATGGGGATTCTGAAGATACAAAGGCAAGACGGGTCCAAAGCTCAAGGATTTCATGGACAAGAAAATAACTTTTTCTCATTACTCAGTACCTAAATTTCAATATGCATTTCTTAGAAAGAATGAAAGAAATACACTCCTCTAGGAGCTAGGGACAACTGGGTAAGATAGATGCAAGTAACTACATTACAGATGCAACACCAGATATAAGAATAATGCTTAGTGGGGAGTACCGAGAAGCGGTGGTTAATGCAACGACAGCAGGGCAGGGAATGTTTTAAGTGAGAGTAGGACTGCTATGATTTGTTCACATACATAAATCTGTGAGAAGATATGGAGGAGGATTCAGAAGTGGAAGTGACTGGAGGCAGAAAGACCAGTAGGGGCCATTTCAAAACTGTAAGCAAGAGAAAAGGAGAATCTGAACCATAACAGTAACAGGCGGGGCAGAGAATGGGATAGATTCAGGGGAGATATTTAGTAAGCAGACAATACAGAAAGTGATGATGATTGCAGTGGAGAATAAAGAGGTGGGGATGTCCAGCACACCTCCAACTTTTCCAACATGGTGACTTTTGCAGGAAAAGGCAGAAATGGTGCAGCCTGAAGTGATCATCTTTCTAGTTAATTTCTCTCCTTCTCAGATGTCCTGCAGGAGTGTTCACATGGGCAAAAGATGCTGTTTCCTTTCCTGGTGTACTATGATTATTCCATTTCTAGCACACTGATGGAATTTGTATTACCGAAATTGATTATCTGCAATAGGACAGGTTAAGAGTACTAGTCCTTGTTTTAAAATTATTAATTTCAGGGCCGGCCCGGTGGCGCACTGCTACAGTGCGCCGCTTGGGAGTGTGGTGGCGCT